TAAACGCGCAAATTATTAAAACTTACACAGAGCTGTGGTCAAGTTGTTAAAACAAAGAACTATATGCGTGGTCATATAAGATGTGCGATCGCATGCCTCTTACGAGAAGGCCTGGTCATATTGTATATTAGTTATCATTATTTTGCGTGCACTTCGCAAATGCATGAAAAATTGTTTTGAATTAATAAAAAATTTATAAAATTCAATAAGCATCTTTGATATATCTAATTATTATATATCTTATTAACTAGAATAAAAGTTATTTGAAAATAAAACTCCCTTATAATTCAATAAAAAATTATTTAAATAAAAAAAATTGAAAGAATTGAAAATAAAACTGGCTTATTCATGGCTGATGGCACAGGTTTCAAAGTGGAAGTGCACAACCATCTATTTCTAAAAAAAAGTCCTCTAGAAGTTCTTTTTAAAAAAAAAGAAAAGGGTCTTTAGAAAAAAGTGGGAGAAGAACGTTAAATTATTACTATTTAACGTTCGTTAATAAATAAAGAAACAAATGTCAATGTTTATTAAAAAAACTTTTTCGATTACCAAAAAATCCCCATAATTTGCATAAGCTGTTTGAGTTAAAAAATAATTCTATTGTTAAACTATCAAAACTCAATCAAGTGTCTATCTGTCCAAAACCCATAGAATGACATAGCGTTGCATTGAGTCTTCAGATTTTTTGGGCTGAAACATAAACTGCACTAAAGATTCATTCGAAAATGCAGGATTCAGGTGAAACTGTTTTTATATCAAAAATTGTAGACTTTTTTACACTCCTAAATGTTAAAAGTCAGTTTAAAGATATCCCATTTAATTTCTTTGATAATTCTAACAAACAGTGATTAGAATTTTTACTTGATTCAGCAATTGTGTTTGAAAAAATGGTTCCTGAAAAGTAAAAAAAGAGAGTAAAATAACTTACCCAAGGTACTACTCTTGCTTTTGAATATACATTTAGAGGAGTGGTTGAGTTAACAACGCCACTCCTTAGCACTTCGTATGACTTTGGATGTCTAAAAAGTTTTTTATTGAAAAAATGTTTAGTAAGCTATGTCAAGGTTCTGGTGGAACATATTTTATCAATGTTCAATAAATTTCACAAAAAGTAAACATAAAAATAAAGCTTCTTGATTTAAAGAGATTTTAATGAATTCAAACAAGCTGTGAACATACTTGTTTGAAATGTGGATTTTTACCAAATGATGACAATACCTTTATGTGTTTCATAATCTTTCAAATATGAAGTTAGTCTTATCTAAGTCTGTAAAAATGACACTAGTCTATATTACAGGATACATCAACAGAAATGATGAAGATGAAAGTGATACAAATTTCTATTTTGTGGAATTTGGAGAATTTTCAAAAGAGGTGGATTGAACTTACCTGGAGACTAAATGTGTCAATGGGTTATTTATTGCTATATATTTTTCCATCATATTATGTCCTCAGTTTGTTGGTCAAGTCTTATAAATATAGCAATGATGATAGCAAAAAATTATGGTTTTAAAAACTTTACACACCTTGATCAACAAAAGAACCTGCTTTAAAAGTGTATAAATTGTAAATTTATACACTTTTAAAGCAGGTTCTTTTGTTAAATCTATTGATTGTTATTGAATAGAAATAGAAATGTATGTAAAGTATATATTTTTTAAAGTTTGTTAGATTAAAAAGAAGAAATAATTATAAAGAAAAGTAGTTATAATATAAATATAAAAACTAAGAATCGCATTAACTTGTTTGTTATTAATTACTTTATTTGTTCATTACATCGTAACTTCCTTGTTACACTATAACTGCAACTTTAAATTATAATTTAAGCTGTAAATTATAACAGTAACTTACGCCATTTTAAATTTTTTAGTAATCTTTTGAAAAATCTTAAAACTTTTATATTTTAAAGTTTGTTGATTTGTGAAATAAAAATTACAATTTTCTTGAAAATTATATTTGAAAAACAACTACTTATTTTTTGTCAACAAGCAATTTAGTAGCTCATTTTGATTTTATAACGACTAATTTGTTTTTTGTTTTTTTTTTCACGTCTTTTAGACATGTTAGTAGACCATGGTTATAAATAAATAACTCTGACACATTTATCTTTACGTTTTTTTATTAGCAAACATTTATAAATAAAGTATCTAATGATTTTAATTAAAGTATCAATGAAAATTGTATAAATTTATATTTATATTATTTAATTATATAAGATTTATAATTAATGTTATTTAAAAAAAAAAAATTTATAAGCGACGTCTTTAAACAACGTTTAAAGTCGTTGATTGTCTCTTTAATAAACTTTATATAAGAATCATTAAAGTTAATACAGTCCAAAAGAAGAAAGACTTTGTTGAAAAGGTAAAAGTAGACAAACTTTTTTAAAAGCTGTTTGAATTAAATAAGTTTGATCTTTACTTAGATTTTTATATTATTGAATATTAAATTTTTAAATAAAGTAACAAATCGCTGCTAATGATTTTTTTTATAAAGTATGAATATTGTATATATTTTTTATGTTATAATAAATTTTTTTAACAAAAAATAAAATCAATTCTTTAAAAAAAAGATTTAATTATTTTTTCTTTTGTTTACATCACTGAGAAGAATTAAGATTTTTTTTTTTTTAAATTTTAAATGTGTATCTATTAAACAATCATTAGACGTAAGTTGTTATTTTATTTAAAAGGGTTTCCCATAATATTAAATCATAAAAACACTAGTAAAAATAACATAAAAATAACAGTGTTAGTAAAAACAATGTAGTTTAAATAATCTTGTTATAGTTTGTTACTTATTTTAATTAAGTTTTAATTTTATTTTAGTTTTTTGTTAAATTATTTTTATTTTATTTTTCTTTGTTTTTATTTTGCAAAGATTTATTTGCTATCTTAAGGATAGTTACTTTTTTAAGTTTATTTTTTAAAAAAGAAAAAAAAAACATCTTAACAACTGTGGTCAAGTTAAATAAAATAAAATAGTATTTGTGTGGTCATACTATAGCGTGAAATCGCATGCCTTTCTGGCCAAGCCTGTGTATCAGCAAGTAAAGGGGTAGCAGCTTCAAAAGAAAATGGTAGAGGTAGAAGTAAGAAAACTTGAAGAGAATGCATTACGTATTGTATGAAACAAATTAAGTTAAGGAAAGAAGATGATCGAGATTGTTTACATTAGAGAAACAGCACAAGAGGTTTAGGGCTAATTAATGATTGATGATGATGATGATGATGATAATGATGATGATGGTTATCATTATGATGATTATCATGTTCATGATCATGTTTATCATGATGATGTTTATATATAAATATATGCATATATATAAAATTGAACATGAATTTTTAATAAATAAACAATTCTTTAGGATGTATCAATGTTTATGCAGTCCTGGTCATAAACCTGGCTGCAGCTATTTTTATCAAATCCAGCTCAGGACCTGATCAAATATCAACCCCTGTTGTTTACTCCTAATGTGGGTATAGCTATAAAAATCAATTTAATGGTTCTGAGGCATTCTGGTAGCAAGGTTTCCCAAACTCTGTGGTAGCTCTTAGTGAGACTGTTTCCATTAACAGTTATATAATATTACAACCTTCATATTTAGAAAAATGACCTCAAACTGTTAGAGGTCGGCATCAGGTCTACAAAAAAAAAATTGACACAAAGGGGTTACCATTAAACATAGCGAGGTCAGCAATTTTTTGCCGAACTCAAACATCTTTAGATTGGCATTTAGGTTAGGATTGTCAAATGCCGACCTTAATTCCGAGGTCTGATATTATATATATTAACCGTGACTTGTTGCACATGGGTGGATGCTTTTAGTGTTTATTGTTGAGGTCGTATTAGGAGCTCTTTTTTTTTATTGGTGAATTGCGGCAATCACATACCTTTATTGCTTTTACATTTTAAATTTTAAACCTTTTCAGTCAGTCACTTTTCTTTTTGTTCTTTATGACTCATTTTCCAGATAACTTTTTAATCATTTACCTTCTCTACTTTATTTGTTGCTTGTCTCTGATCCTAACTTGTGCTCAGTTTTAGTTTGGAAAATCTTTTATGTTTAGAGATGGTGAAAAAACTTGGTTTAAACATCTTTAAAAATTAAAAAAAAAAAAAAAAAAAACACTAAAAGTTTTCAGTAGGTCATAATGGACAGAACCATCAAATTCTCAAAAGTAATATTAATTTATGTTTAAAATATTGAATTTTATTCCTAAGAGTTACAACTAACTAAAGCTGGTAGCATTTAGACTTTTGAAATTTTTTGAATATACTTAATTCTATTTTGAATAAAATACATTCTAGAAAACCACGGACAAACAGCTGTTGTAAATTTCTCCAACTGTATTATCTCCAACAGTATCTGTTGAACATTGAGTTCCTAAAAGCTCTGAATTATATTTCAAAACTAAATACAAGAGTAATTATTAAATAATTGAAATAAAAAATGTACTTTTAACATGAAATTTGAAAAGTTCTTGTTATAAATTATTAAATAACATTATATAAAATATATTTTAAATAAAGTTAAAGTAGAGAAAAAACCCACTGTGCTGAGTTTTTTTAAAAAAGCTCGGGTTTTTATCAACCCTGTGAATAATTATCTAAAGTGTTTTACTCTATCATCCTTGTTGTTTTCGGCAAGATGTAAACAAAAAACAACTCTCTTTAAGTGAATTTGTTTTTTGCTCTATGGTAAAGGCTATCTGACTATAACTGATTATATGTATTGCTAACAGACTAGTACTTGTGACTACTGACATCATTTTTAATTTTTCAGTTATTATTGCAATTTTTTTATATACAGGTTTTATGTATATAACAAAATTGCAATAATTTTGACAATATACATAAAACTTGTATTTAAATAGACAATAATTACAGTTATTGTGATTTTGCCAGCTATTGTGATTTTGTTTTTGTATTGTCTTTTTTTTTGTTTTTTTAATATTTTTAGATTTATAAAAAATTTACTCAAAGTTTTCTCATTTTAGCTAATGGTGACATTTGAAAAGAATGGACAACCATTTGGTTTTAATGAATATATTAATGGAACTTCATTAGAATTTAAACAATTTTCATTAACATTTGTTGGTGTTTATGTATGTGTAATATCTTTTGGAAATACAGTGGTTAGAAGTTCTACAGTTACTCTAAAAGCATTTACAGGTTAAATTTTTTATGCAATTTTTAGTTTGACAAGCCTTCTAAGGAGACATGTGGCACATCTTTTTTGACTATGTGTATAATTTTTTTTTTGACCACTTGACTTCAGCTTTTAGCAAGTTTTAAAAAGCTGAGCGTTTAAAAAATGCACTGAATAAAGAAATGTAAACTTAAATTAAAATAAAAAATAACAAACCATAAATCAGGCTTTCACAGGAAAGCATGGGATCCCACACCATTACATGACCAGGCAAATAATATTTTGCTTCAAAGATTTGACCACAGCTATTTCAAGCAATATTTCAAAAATGTACTGAATGAAAAAGATTCTGAATTATATCTTAGAGAAATAAATGACATCGAAACTTTTATCTTTACTATTGTCTTTATATTAGTGAAATGCACGATTTTTATTTAAAGCAGGCCCGAATTAAAGCAAAAAAATTTAATTGCAAAAAAAAAGAATTTATTCCCCTCTCCTCATTCATAGCGTCGCCTTGCGGTAAAGGGGTCGGGTGGGGTAGGGGGTTGCGTTAGTGTAAAATTGTATCTTTTCTACATTTATTCGTAATTGTTATTTTTTAAACATAATATCTCATATTATATTAGAATTTTTTTGTTTAGCAGAGTTTAAAATGGCGTAAGTTACTGTTATAATTTACAGCTTAAGTTATAATTTAAAGTTGCAGTTATAGTGTAACAAGGAAGTTATGATGTAATGAACAAGTAAAGTAATTAATAACAAACAAGTTAATGCGATTCTTTGTTTTTATATTTAAATCATAACTATTTTTTGTATATTTTAGTAAAAATATTTGTTTTAACTTTAATTTAGTTTGATTTGTATGGTTATTAGTAAAATAATTCGTTTAATATTTATTTATATTTAGTTCAGTTTTATTCAACTCACTCATTTTTTATTCAGTTTATACTTTAAATTAATTTATACGCTTTAGTAAAGTCTTTTAGTATCTAGTTTATGTTTAGTTTAAACCAGTACGTTTTACTGCAAATAATTGTTATATATTAAATTTTTGTTTTTATATTTTTTTTTAATTTAATTTTTAATTGTATCACAAACATTTTTTTTTGGGATTTAGTAAAAAGTTATACAATTAACATGATTTGGTTATTGTGGCAAAAAAATAAAACGATATCTTGAAAGAAAAAATTTATATAATGATGTCATATATCGAAACTGTTATGAATTAAACATGCAAGGAATAAATTATCAAGTCTGCAGATTGCAGCTAACATTACACAAACTCTGTGAAATAAAAAAAAAAAGAGACGGCGAGCTTTTACTAAAATGTGAATTTTAAAATTAACCATGTGCATTCATTATTTAATTTTAATCAAAAAAATTCAGCCAAAACGTTTTTTTTAAATATTTTAACATGAACACAACTTGCCTTGGCACTTGGGGATCCCTAAAACTTTAGAAGTTGATGGGCTAGTGCCAACATTTTTTCTGTTAGGTTTTTTTATTAAATTTGACATAAGCACAATTCATAGGTTCGTTTCAATCATGGATAGATAATTTTAGTGTAGCAATGTTAAAAAAAGAAACTAACTTGTAGTTAAAAAGCTTTGCTTTTAAACAATAGTCCTTGAAGTTTTGTGGATTTATTTGAATAACATATTAATAATGATATGGATTTTTTCAGTTAACTTGCTTGAGGGTCCTTATCAATCCAAGTAGACAATAAAAACCAGCTATGCTTGTGAGTTTTTCAAATTAATTATGCGCATGATCCACTTTCTTGGCAATTAAATGACTAGGAAAAAAAGTATTTTGTGGTAACATGTTTGTAGCAACATAAATGGCTAGAAAGTAAGTATTTTTCAATGTAACACACTATTTGATATTAAACTGTTGCTATTTTGAGGGACGCAGCACAGTCTTCTCCATTTGAAATTAACTCCCAGTGCACGAAAAAACGCAGGCCGGGCAGTAATTATTTGTCTTGCATGTGCAATTTTTAAAAATATTTGTTTTTTGTACCTCTTTAATTAGAATTTGATTAAGAAAAAAGATTTATTGCAATTTAAAAACTCTTGAAGTTTTTGGCGAGCGCTTAAAAAAGCGCCAGCCGTAGTATTGGCGGGCGTGTTGGCGAGCGTAAAACTGCAACAGCGCGAAAGCGCTTGTCAAACAGAGAAGACTGGCAGCAGTCAGACTAAGTAACTAAGTTGCTCGAGTTGCTTTTACTCTGCCACAACATCTCACAAAAGGCACAAGAAAAATTCTTCGCCTCTATTGTCCACCAATGATTCATTTTAGTGCTCAGTATTGTTGTTTGGTTGTTGTGTAATATGCTGCTAAGTTAATCCCACTTTGCTTATATAATAAGCATCCATGACTGACCATTAGGGGCTAGACACAATTAGACCTTGTTTATCAAGGTTCTTGTTTTGGTGTTAAAGAGTTAAAAGAGGGTTGTAACCATAGTAAAGTAACATCATTGACTGTAGTGGCCTTCTTGGCCATGAAGAGGTAAATGACATTAAAAAAAAAATTTATATACTGAAAGCCTATCTCTATTTCTGTATGATATCATTAATGTTGTTTCATGGGCAGCAAATATGAATGTGGTGTTTAATAAATTTTAAAATGTTGTGTACAATACTTACTATAATAATATTAGATTATTATTTAGATAAGATCAGCTTAGTGGCTTATCCATCATCAGTGGGTGTAAATGAATCAGTAATGCTATCATGCTGGGAAGAGACATCACAGCACCCATCATTTCATATTTATGCAATAAAGTGGTATAAAGATAATAAAACACTTATATATGACAATAGTGTGCAAGTCATTGGCAAAAATAAACTGCTATTAGCAAATACAAGACTAAATGATCAAGGTTATTACCAATGCAGTGTTCAAGTTACACAGTACAGTCATGAAACAAAAAGTGTTGGGATATTTCTTAATATCACAGATAGTAAGTGCAGTTGTATTTTTTTTTTTTTTAGATCTTATTAAAAGTTAAATAATTGTATTAAAATTAATTTATTAAAAGCTAATAAAATTTAAAAAAATTATTTGTGAGCTTTGGAAAATTAAGTTTTAAAAAAGTATACCTATCAAGCATACTAATTTACCTTTTATTTAACTTGAAAATTTAAAAAAATTTTGTCCATGGTTTCACACTAATGTGGTTAAGGCGCTAATGTGGTTTCCATAATGCCACTAGAGTATATTGTAGTATCATCAAATAGAGCTACTTAAAGGGTAATATTGTTGGAAAGATAAGAGGTTACTTTAACTTTAGAAATAAAGAAGAGTGTCGTCTAAAAATACAACCTTGATACTAATATTAGAAGTGTTTTAAAAGTTTTTAAAACATTCCTAGATGAAAAAATATTATTGAAAAGACCAGCATGCCATACTGTATTAAATGTCTTTAATATGTCAAGAGCCATGCTCTTAGCCTTACTGCAAGCCACGCTCCTTACCTTACCTACATCTAATGCAAAAATGAACCTTTTTGTTATTACAATTATAAAAAACCTTTCTGTTGTTACAGTACCTTACAGTAAGTCAGTAGTAGAACTCTAGGATCAAACTTTGTATTAACCTTTTGATTGCGCAATAAAATTAAAAGATGTTTTGAAAAATTCGACTAAAAATTAAAAAAAAAAATTCAATTAAAAAAAATGAAACATTAAGCACTGTTCACTAGTGCCATTTATAAATGATTGACAAAAAAGTTCAATTTCAAAGGTCAAAGTTTAAAGATCATGGCTTGCCACACTTCAACAAAAAAGCCATGATTGTTAAGCAGTTAATAGGTTAATGTCAGTAACTAAGTTGCTTGATTTGAGGTAATACATTACGATTTTATAAACTAAAAAAATTTATTAACTAAAACTCCAAGACTGCTAAAAAGACTGATTTAAGGATAGCTAGATGAATTAAATGATTTCTCTAGAGTTTTGAAAAATAGGAGCCTTAAATGTGACAACAGAGGTTTGAGGATGTTAAACAATGAATGGAAACTGTTTTTCTAGTAATGTTTCTATGATAGTTAGATATTACCATAATGAAGGAAGTCATGTAGTTATAGTGCAAATCAACTGCTAACAAAGTTATCAAAACTATATTGTGTCGATCCAGGTGGAGAAGAAATCTTCAAGGCATAACCTAAATGCAAATAATCCAAAGGAAGACACAATAAAAGATCTCTTGTTATTCTGTTTATTATTAAAAGTTAAACATCTTGAGGTAGTATGTAAATTGAATACAAACTCATTTCTCAATACCTTCATTAGTAAACAGAAGAGTATTATCATTGTTTGAAATTTTGACAAACAGTGGAACAAATTTTATTTGCAGAAATTGTGATCTGAAAAAAACTTACAACTTATCTAGAGATAAATTACAGCACTGCAGCTAATAAAGAAGTCAAGCAATATTTTATTAAAATAATGACTAATAAAATAAATTAAATGCATAATTGAGCATTAATTTAATGCTCTCTTTGGAGTTCATCTTGGCTGTGTAAAAATTGGCTGTGTACTAAATTGGCTGTGTACTAAATTGGCTGTGTACTAAATTATTAATATTGTACAGCATTAATTTAATATTAAATATGTAAAACAGCATGCTACACTAAAATTCTATTCTATATAACAGTTTTATTAAGTATTTAAAAGTTTGAAAATAATTGAAAAAGTAGTTTATATATAAATAACAAATACAAAATAACATGGTACAGAATATAAACTTTAAACTTTAAATATTACTTTATCTACTTTAACTGATGTTTTGCTAAAAATTCATAAAGACCAAAATATATGCAAAACTCTGCATTTTTTTTTACTTTCAGTGAGTATACTTAAACTAATCTCTATATTCAACTTTTTTAAATTTTTTTGGTTTGGCATCCATGATGCAACATAATATTTTAATATGAAATAATTATTTGATAATTAAATAAGGTTGTGTATTATATATTGATAAAGACTATCTTATTAATCTTATTAACAAGATCATTTCTTATTATATTTAGGTTTTGAAGAGTTTACTACTATTGTTTATAAGAGTGCTGATCAAACTGTCAAATGGAATTCAACGTTTACAATTGAATGCTTGGCGAGACATGCAAGTCTAATGCATATTGTTAAAGAGGTGAATGGGAAGTTACAAGTGTTGATTACAGCTAAAGGAAATTTTGCCAATTACACAATAAAAGTATTTGATAAACCAAATGTTGGCTCTTATCTCTGTGAAGCCATTGGCCAGCATATATCAAGAGAATATGTTAGAATTGATATTGGAGGTTAAAATTTAGTTAATATGTTTGTTAATTCTTACTTTTTACAAATTTGAGTTTTTAAGGAAATACAAAAATGTTTAATAAAAAGTACAACCTTAACCCTGACTCAATAAATACCCCTACTCACTTGTACTGTATTTACTCTGGGCATCATCAGTGTTTAACTTAGATAAATAAATTTAAAAAGACAGAACCATGGAACAGTAATGTTCAAAATTTGGAAGTTGTCTTATAGAATTTTTATTTTTGAGTATTTTTTTAATTTTAAACTAAAATGTGTGGTCAACCTTTTATTAATAATACCACCTGCCTTTATTAAAAATAAAAACATTTTTAATTATAGTTATTTTTTTTGATTTGATTTATGTTTGAGACATGTTTACGTTCTTTAAGTAAGTATAGTTTTAACAAAAATCTATATGATTAGACGGATTTATATAAATCAAACAATCATTATAAAAAAATATGGCTTTAAATGTTTTATTTTATTTGGCTTTAGATATACAGTTAGAAATAGTACATAATTTAATATTTTGAGTCAAAAAATAATTAACTTGAAATTAAAAAAACTTTCATCTTATTAAATGAAAAACATTTTAAAGAATAATACTCTTCTATTTGGAACTCTTTTTACTTGTTACTATGTTTACTTGTTACTATGTTTAATGACACATTCATTTATAAATTTACAATATGGTGACATTTCAATTTGATTTATCAAAGTTATTATTTATTCAAAGTAGCTTCTAGTTATTAAAGTAGGCACATTATTTGGTAAATTGCTATTTTTGCATATACTTTTGTTTGGTATTTAATTTTTTGATTTGTCTTTATGTTTAGTTCAGCCAATATTTGCTGAAAATGGTTTTGTTGAAAATATTCCTGTGTATATAGGATATTCTACAGTAATGGAGTGTAATTTTACTGGTTCTAGCAATATTTCTGTTAACTGGTATAAAAATGGGTCACATCTTGTTTCAGAAAATCTTTCAAGCGATTTTAAAATAAGTGGTACTACTTTATCTAAAAAAAATATTGACCACAATGATTTGGATTTTTATCAGTGTGTTGTGGAAAATGATTTTGGAAGCGTTTTAAAATATTTTTTCATTTACTCAACAAATTTACGTAAGTGACGTTTTATTATTATTATTAATTTTTTGCATAATAATTTGGTATAATATTTATGCATAATAAATAGATTATTTAATAGCGTGTGTGTGTGTGTGTGTCTATATATATATATATATATATATATATATATATATATATATATATATATATATATATATATATATATATATATATATATATATATATATATATATATATATATATATATATATATATATATATTATTGTTTACATAAACGCTTGTGTAAATTAATAAAAAACGCAATATATAAGTTTTTTTTATGTAAGCATTTATTTTTTATGATAAATTTAAACGTTTGAAACTATTTTCTTATGTCTTCCTAAAACATTTTTAAACCATTATTTTTAGAAAGAATTTTTTTAAGTTACTTTAATTTGTGAATAAGTTCAAAATCCTTTGTGACATCTAATTTTTACACTTTTTATGTGAATTACACAAGAATATAAAATAACTTTATTTACTTATATAAGCATGTATTTTGTTGATTTAATGAAAAAGTTTTAAAGCATTTTGTAATGTTCATACGATTAATTTTTATGATTAAACTTACGATTTTTTAAAATGTTTTAAATAAACATTTTATTTTTTGTAAACAATTTTTTTTTCAATTTCGTTAGAAATGAATGAAATTAAATCTTTTATAATAATTTTTAAATTTATTATGCAAAGCGCTTATTAATGTTTAATTTGAGCATTACGCTTATAAAGTTGTAATGCTCAAATTAAAATTAAATGAAAAAGCTTGTAAGCAGTTTATTTTATTTAAATCGCAGTTCATTTTATTAATTTTTTTCTATTTTTACGAATAAAAAAGTTCAAAACCTTTTTTTTAATTAGACTCACTAATTATAGCATGAAATTAGTCAATAATAACTATTTTAAAAAGACTACGTTATTTTTTTAAACAATTTTTTTGACAAAATAAATGTTAATACAATTTAAAAATATTATATAAAATCACTTTTTAATAAATTTAATAAAATTTGTTCTTTTATTAAACCAATCATTAGTAGTAATTTGTTATTTAATTTAAAAACGTTTTGCGTAACTTTAATAACGCTTAAAAAGATAAGTTTTAATAACGTTTATTTCATACGTAATTAAAAATGTAACAAAAAGTTTCGCTTCGAGTTTAAGTTTTTATTTTCATTTTAGTGCTTATATAAATTCTTTTTCGTTATGAATTTGTTTTTCGTTTCTTAGGAATTTTTGTTAGTTTTTTTTTTCGTTAGTTTTTTTTTAATTTTTTTCCTAGTTTAAGTTTAGCTTAGCGTTTCTACATTTAGAACATTTCTGAAATTTTCAACTCATCAAAACATATAAACATTGTTTATTAAACAATCGTGGTCAAGTTGTCAAAAAATAAAATCATTTGTGTGGTCAGCAATAGCGCTCAATCGCACGCCATTCCTGTCCAAGCCTGTGTGTATATATATATATATATATATATATATATATCAGGCTTTCACAGGAAGACGTGCGATTTCATGTCTTTATATGACCACGCAAGTTACATTTGACTATGGCGGTTTGACCGCGGCTAATTCAAAAAACATTTTAGAAACGTGCTAAATAAAAAATATTCTAAAAATGTGAAATTAATTACTTCAAAACTTCTTAACAAATATTTTTATATTAGCGAAACGATTTTAAATAAAGTAACAATTTACTGAAAAAAAGTTTTGTTTTTTAAATATAATTGACAGTTGTATATATTTTTTTAATTTAAAACATATAAATTGTTTAAGTGTTCATTTCTAAAATAAATCTTATTAAAAAATAAAAAATTTTAATGTTTCTATAAACGATGACATTTTACAACTACGAAATCTCTTTAACGAATTTAAATAAAAGAATGATTAAAGTTAATGCATTTAAAAAGATATACCAAATTTCGTTTAAAAATAAAGTTTTAGAAAACCGTTACAATTTAATAAGTTTGATCTTAAATGCTTTTATATTATCGAAACGCTTTTAATGAAGTAAAAAAAAAAAACACTTCTAATTAATTTAAAAAAACGTATTTATAAAATGTTTTTTTATTTTATTTATATAACTATGTATTTTTTATGAGAAATATTTAACTTTTGAACATATTAAACAAATAAAAAATATATAAAAGTGTTGAAACAAAGATTAAAAAGGTTTTTTAATGCATAAATTAAATAGACTAAGCATTTCAGTTTGATGAGTTTCGTTTTATTGCGTTATATATATATATATATATATATATATATATATATATATATATATATATATATATATATATATATATATATATATATATATATATATATATATATATATATATATATATATATATATATATATATATATACATTTGTTTGTGTTTTTGCTAAAACTAAGTATTTTTTTTTATTTTTTCTCTCGTTGATATCTATTATTTTTTTAAATTTTTTTTTCAGATAAGTTTAGGTAAGTTTTTGTAGTGCGTTTTTAAATTTTAAAAATATGCCGTGGTCAAATCGTTAAAACATTTTTTTTTGCGTGGTCATATAAAGGCATGAAATGGCACGTCTTCCTGTGAAAGCCTGATATATATATACATACATACATACATACATACATACATACATACATACATACATACATACATGTGTATATATATACATATATATATATATATATATATATATATATATATATATATATATATATATATATATATATATATATATATATATATATATATATATATATATATATATATATTTATATATATATATATATATATATATATTGCATTTTACCTGCAAAATAGCGATTTGCCTACGCGTTCAGCAGTTTTGCGCTACGCAAAAACTTTAATCTTTTAGAATATTCAAATTATCTTTTGATATTGTTTATGTGACGTTTATTTAGGAAAAAATAAAGTCGTAAGTAAAAGCATTTAACCGTAATTGTAAACTAATAGATTTTTTGTTAAAAAAAAGTTTGTTTAATAATTTTTATTGTTTTTGTTGTTAAAAATTAGTTTTATAATTAATAAAATAAATTGTTTTAAGTTTAAACTTTTTATTATATTTAATATTAAGTTTTATATTTCATCAGTTTAAAAACATTCATTCACATGTAATGTTCATTTTCGCGAATTCGCGAGTTGTATGGAAAGGGGAAGGGTTAAATATGGAAACGTGTACGTTAACGCGTATTTATGTTACGCAATAGCCTTTTTCAATAAGTTCATTTAAACAGTCTTTTAGAACAGTTTATGCAGAAAACATTAAAATCTTATACTTATTTAAACTTATCTAATTTAAGAGATTTATGTCAAACAAATTTTCAATAATTTTTATTCTAGTTGATAAGTTATCAAATATATCAACGATGCATTGTTAATTTTTTTTCATTGTTATTTTTCAAAAACTGTTTTTTTACACATTTGCAAAGCGCGCGCAAATTAATGATCAACGCACATTAAAAAAAACTTTTAAAATTGTTTTTAATATGCAAACAAACATTATTTTACTTTATGGAAAATAAGAAAATTTAAAGTGAAATATCTTTTAATATTAAGCACTCCTTTAAGTTTATGAATTTTGTTTTATTTTCATAATATAAAACATTCTTAAATATCAATATATGTATATATATATATATATAAACAAAATTCATAAACTTAAAAGAGTGCTTAATATTAAAAGATATTTCACATAGAGCGATATACATATATATATTAACGAAGGGAAAACAACTTTTACTATGGTACCTCAAGTTTCATGCATATACGGCAATCATTAGCCATTGATTTTGTATTTACTGGCTAAATACAAATCAATGGCTGAACAAGATCAATACAAATGTCTTCTTCTGATACTATACATTCTACTGCTGATTTGTTAATAGTAATAACCAATAGGTTTTATCGTACATTAGATTAATTTAAATAATTAATTTAAATTAGATGTGGAATAGATGTTTTATCGTACATGTGGAGAGGTTAAGATTATTGCTCTTGACATTTCTAAAGTCTGTGATAAAGTTTGGCTGATCTTCTCCATAAGCTATCTATTTACAGTGTATTTGGTAACATAAAGATAATAAAGTTTATCATACTGGTCTTCTCTAAAAGCTCTATTCTTACGTTGTATCAGGCAACATTTTTAAAACTTCCTTACCGATCATAGTATAAAAGTTGTCCTTGACGGACAGCACTCTTTTATATTTCCTGTAATGTCAGTTGTTCCTTAAGGTTCTATTCTTGGGCCTATACTTTTTTAAATTTACATTAATGATCTCAAAGAGTTTTTCACGTCTAAATCACTGATGATACTATCATTTATTCTTGTCTTGATAAGAAGCCAACACTTTCTGATTGCTTGGAGGGGGCATTTGAGCTTGAAAATGATCTTATTTCTGCTACTGCTGAGTGGTTGGTGAACTTTAACTCAGATAAAGCTCAATTTTTGTCAGCTAATTGTTATCGCAACAATCTAGATCTTCCTACATTTATGAACAGTAATGTACTTAATGAGTCACCTACCCTTTGTCTTCTAGGATTAACTCTTACTTATGATCTTCCTTGGAAACATATATCAAATCCATCGCAACAGTAGCATTTGCATCTCTTTATCGTGCTTGCTTCTTTTTTGTTCTTGATTCTATTCTTTATCTCTATAAATCTCATATTCATCCTTATATGGAATACTGTTGCCATATATGATGTGGATCTTCAAATGATGTTTTTTCTCTTTTAGACAAGTTGCAAAAACGCATTGTAAACATAGTTGGACCTGTTCTTGCAGCCCACCTTCAACAATTGTTACATCATCTTAAAGTTGCTTCTCTTTCTCTTTTTTAAAAATACTATAATGGGCACTGCTCTAAAAAGCTAGTGTCTTTTGTACCATCTACTAAAATTCATTCTTGTGTTACTCGTCATTAATTAAGCCTCATCTTTTTAGTGTGACTAAAAAATTCCAAAAACTCTTATTTGTCTTTTTTTTTCCTC